CTACTGCTAGTATTACTACTGAGTCTTTGTCTAGTTTGTTCGTGGGTTTGACTTATCATCAAGTAACGTTCGTGCATAGCATCATCGTCTCGCTCTCTCCTTCTAGCCTGTTGCTGTTGTTGCTGCTGCTGCTGTTGATGTAACTGCTGCTGCATTTTTTGCTGTTGCTTCTGCTGTTGCACGAAACTGTAACTTCGACCCAACGGCTGCGGCACACCTTGTAAAATAATAATCACCCATGTATTGCAAAAGACACGCGCACATACAGGAAGGTGGCGAAAGAAATATAAAGATTATCTCGCTTACAGTCGAGTGAGTTGTTGCACGCTGTGTTTCGCCTGTACTCCTTTTCCCTATCGCGCTCTCGCTCTCTCTCCCGCTCCACCGCTTCGAGACCTCCTCGCTGCTTCGACGTATTACCGCTATGTACGCCAGCGACCCTACCGAGACTCTTGGCAGGATCGTTTCTCTCGGACAACATTGCACCATACACATCCCTGACATTCGCTTCCGAAAGCGACGCGGAACATCCGTGATGCCTTCTACCTATGCTACCCGTACCATCCTGCGGCTGCTTATTCATATTTCTCGAGTGCATGGAACTCGGATAAAAGGCTGGCGGGTTCGTTTTATCGAGACTATTGACTCGTTCCCGATGATGCTGCTGCTGCATCTCTCGCTCTCTATCCCTATGGTAACGATTGCCACTCTCCATTAAGGAACCATACTTCTCGCCTTGTGATTTGTAACTATGGCTAAGTTGAACCTCAGGCGGACGATACGGTGGCATTTCCTGCCTGAAGACTCGAGATTCCATCAGAGAATCGCGATATGGCGATGTACTCGGCTCGGGACCATACGAGCCTCTACTACTTTCTCTACCTAAAATATCAGGAAAACAATCGATACAACCGGGAAGATATGTGTACGTGGCTTGCACGTAACAAGTAATTATGACTTGAACGTAAAAACAAATATTATACATCCTTACCATTTTTACTTTTGTCTAGGTCCAAGTTTCCAGCCCTACCTTCGCGTTGCGGGTCGGTGAAGGTCTTCTTCTTAAATAGGGGTGTGCTGGTCGAAAGCGACAGACCGAGTGGCGGTGGTTCTCCCACCAGCGATACAGACTTCTGATTTTTCACACTTTCGAGAGTTCCGCTCTTGTGACACCTAGTCTCCAGAGTGCCGGTGCCGCTACTGTGCTGCCTAGGGGAGGATTGTGCGGTGTTCACCGGCGTTTGCGCGACCGAACGATGATGCCTGTGTGGCGAGTCCAACAAACGGTAACCGGTTGACTCCAAGGAAGTCCTACTGTGCGAGACAGAGCTGTCGCTGGATCTACCAGAATCCTGCGAGTGATTGTGTTGTCTGGTACGTGTCGTGGGTACTTCATGGTGCCTGTGATGCCTGTTATTGTGGTGATGATGGTGATGATGGTGTCGTCTCGCGGACGGAGACGGGGAAGGGGGAGAAGTCTGAAGGTCGACGCCAACCGTAGAAGTCCGCGTTTTGTTCGCACTACCGAGAGAAAGAGCTTGCTACGAGAAAAAAAACGTAGTCATGTAGAATCTCGATAGGTCAATATCATCTAAATCCTCGGAAGAAAATTAAATTTACCAGTGTCGGAGTCAAATTCGCATTCTCCTGATGGTTAAATCGCGTCGATCGACTAACCGAAGGAGTTTGCGTCTGCGTCGAGACGGATTCTTTCTTTCTCGGCTCGGTTACCTTTTGAGTATCAGATGTGCTACCGCTTGCAGGTTCCGTGTTCTGTTTTAGCGTCTATATAAATATAAGTAAATATAAATATAAAAATATATAAATAAATTAATGAATAAAATATAATAAATTAACGATTGATAGCCAACATTAATTTTCTCTATCTATAAAATATAGAAGAATAATAGAGAATATGTTTTATAAAACGTTTGACACAAATAAGATCGCAATTTATATTATCATTTATGTACATCCCATGCAATCCTACTGTTTTATAATCTGTTATATTTCAACATATAAGTAGATGCCATAGAATATGTGTATTTTCCGGGAGACATCTGGCAATCATATTTTTGTCAAACTTTAAATGAATAGCATTATCATGAGAGAAGTTTCATGATAGTATCGTGGTATAATGTAAACCAGAGTTTTTTCTCCCCGCTGCAAACGTCTATTTATAGCTGAGAAGAGAGCAGACGCGCTTGCACACTTATATCTCCACCACTTTAAGATACACGAGTTCTGTGTAACGTGCGTTATCCCGGAGAAACTCACAAATCATTACACACATCCGTGAATATATATACACGCGTGTGCGAGAACGTATGCGGAACTCGCAGATTTTATGTGATCCGTAAAGTAAGTACAGATCCCGGCGGATGCCGGCCGATGGAAGGCACGATCTTATCTGGATTTTATCTGCACTCGAAACGCCGAATAGCCAACTCAATCGACGTGACTCACCGCGCCGCCGGCACCAATATTGTATAAATGTGTTAAATCATATCAAAACGATATCGAAATGTTTTTTCTTTTTACCTGAAGTTTCGCCAACGGGATGATGTCACAGTCCGTCGGGCGGTGCCACACGGTTTTCTGAGATGTCGCGTTGTAATAATAAAACCGCGAGGTATTCTGATCGAACAGCTCCCACCACTGATTGTTATCCGTCTTTTTCCTACAAATTATTAAACGGGACATGTAGGCACTACATTTATCGTCATAGCTGGTGACTTTCTCTAAGATAACTTTCTCTAAAATAATTACAATGGTAACCACCTCGAGATAATTAACTGATTACATATAATCAAATTAAATGCGTTGAATATAACTTTAAGATAATAGCTAATTGTAAATTAGGCACATTAGAATTAGATGATTGATTCAACCTCGAAATTATATTAGCCACTAGAAAAAAAATGGATAATTTATTTTCTCTAAATTGTTTATTCTCTAAAATTTTAGAAAGTTAACTTATTCTCTAAGATTTAGAGAGTTATATATATATAACTTATTCTCTAAAACTTTTAGAGTTAACTCGTTCTCTAAAAAATTTTAGAGAGTTAATTTATTCTAAAAAGTTTTAGAGAATTAAATTTATTCTCTAAATTGTTTAGAGAAACAATTTACTGTAAAAAGAAAACATTTTGTGGACTAATTCTTTCAGCGAATGATCAAATAGATGTGAGGCACGCTGCACGAAAACTACTGAAGAATCGATATAAGGGAATATAGCTTACACAGGTACACCCGGTGGAGGATCCCATACGCATTCTCCCGTGGTCAGGTTCGCGTACATGTGCTCCTTCGTGCGTGGCTCTATGATCTCCACCCATTCCATCCTGCTGCAATTGTCAGCCATTAACATCTATCCCTGTGGGGTGGCTTTAATTCTCCGCGATCGCGAATCTATCGGGGTCCTAAAATAACCCAGCGCGGCCAGGAAGGCAAATACACCTTGCGCAACGGCTCCAAATCACTCTCTTCCCCTAAAACTTTCACTCGCCGTCGCGGGCTCTATTCGCCTTCGGGACAGTTTTTTTTTCTTTTTCTCTTTTTTTGGTCACTCGTACGATACGAACCGACGCTCGCGCGAGTTCTCAGATATGCATGCGGTACTTGAACGATAAAATCGTAAGGCGGGATCGATATGTCACGAGGCAGTCCCGGAGCGCGAGACACCGAGAACAGAAATATATCGTCGCGATGCAACGACACGGGGCCGACGGCAGACCGTAGCCTCCATTTCTTATTTACATCCACCGCGTATCCTCGCCACCGATATTATACGTCTCGGAAATCGGAATACGTCGTGCGCGATTTCTCGCGGGGAAGCGGAGTAGAAAAAAAATGGGGGGCAGGAAGGTGACTCGCGCGGAGCAACGTGTGGCGCGTTTTAAAGCTCGACCGCGATAACGGAGAGCTTAATTGGAACGTCGTACGGCTCGACCTCAGGAGGGGAAAAAAATCGCCCTCGCCGCAAACAGACCGACAAGAAGGGGCGGGCGGGGAGAAGAGGGGGTTGAAAAGAGGGACACCCGGCGACCGCGCTCAAGATTCGCGGGGCGCGCGAGGACGTTCTCAACGGAGGCCGACCGCGACGGAGCGACGATGACAATCGGGGCGAACGAAGGAGGGTGTTTCGCCCGCTCGTCCATCCGTCCGTCCGTCCCGTCGCACCCCACCCCGCCCTGACACGGGGCCCCGCAAATTGATAGGAATGCTGGGCCGCGATGCAACGAGAGAGAGGTCGTCTGCTCTGATGTCATGCTGGCCGTTTAATTGGCTGAAATAGGCCGCGGAGATCCATTCGCGCGCGTAGATCGCGAGCGGTATACGTATAGCGGAATAGCGTTGACGCGCGCGGGGAAAAGGAAGAGGGAGAGGGAGAGGAAGGAGAATGGGATGGATAGAGAGAAACAAGAGAAGGAAGGAAGGAAGAGGAACGGAGGCGCGGTAACACCGAGAGGAAAACGCGCGGCGTACGACGCGAACGAGCCTGAAACGCGGACTGCGAAATATAATGCGAAAATGTGCGCGAGGGCCGCGAGGGCCGCGCGTGAGGGAGCGAGCGAGAGAGAGAGACCCGCCCAATCGCGACGGCGGCCTAACTTCAGCGCGAAAGCGCTCCGCGAAGGAGCAAGGAGCGCAGCGGAAAATCGCTCGCGTTCGGTTATCAGGAACGGCGACGGCGAATTCTTCTCTCTTTCTTTCTCTGTCCCTCTCTTTCTCTCTTTCTCTCCCTCGCTGCACCGAAGGGAAAGAACGGAGCAGGACGGAGAGAGAGAGAGCGAGAGCAGAGTGCAGGACGGAGACGGGGAGAGGGAGAAAACTGGGACGGGTGACTGTAAAAAAAAAAATTCACTATCGATCTGCGAGCACACCGTCGGTCCCGTGTGTGTGTCTCGCGACGGCCGCGTTTTCCCTAGAGCAGAGCAAACGCGCTGCTGCACCTCCTGGGTGCAGTCGGGTGCAGTTAAGGGACAGGCAGGTTTCTCCCGTGGTGCCGAGGGCCCTTACCCATCGGATGCCATCTCGCGCGTCTCTGGCTGGCTCGCCGTCGCCGCCACCGTTGCCGCCGTCGTCGTCGTTGTCGTCGTCGTCCTCGTCCTCGTCGTTATTCCCTCCGTCCTCCTCGTCGCCGCTGCGGCCGTCGCCGTCGTCTCTCGCCTCGTCACCGTCGTCGTTGTTGCAACGCGCGACGAGTGCAGCGCGGCGCGGTGCGCTACCGCGCTCCGCTTTTCCACTCCACTCCAGTCTCAACCCGCTTGCCCCCTCCGCTTTACCCTTCGGGCACGTCACCGGTCACCCTCGCCGACGATTCACCACCACTCGCCCGACACTTGGCACTGCGAACGACGGATGACACTCGGATGTCGCAACGTCCCATTTCCGCGAGCGCGAGCAGCGACGACGCGGCCCCTTCACGGCAGCCTCGCGGCGGCCATCTTTTTTCTTCTGTTTAGTTCGTGGTTAGTTTCGCCGCCCCGCTGCGCCGCCAGCAGCACTCCCCGCGGGTAGTGACAAAAATTCGCTTTCGCACGCGCGCGTGTGCCCTCCTCCGTCTCTTCCCCCTCCTTCCCTCGTGAACTGCGCCGCGGCCTTTAACTAAACGAGCAATTAATCGCGATCGTTATATTGCCGATCGTAGAAATTGCAGAAAGCGATTCGGGCGATTGACTCTCGTTATTATCGACCCGCGCAAGCTCTCATTACCATGAACTCGCGTATGACTAATTAATGATGATTATCTCTGAAAGGAGACAGAAAAAATGCGCACAATGTAGGAAAGGAAATGAAACTAACAGGGGACAAATTACTGATATTCAAAGGTGTTTCTTTCTTTTTTTTTACAGGTATACGTAGATATTTTACGGACAAGGTCCGTATGGTGTACAGTGTCGGCATTGCCCGGGCAATGTCAACATAGCACAACGCGACTGGGCAAAGTAGTTTATTAGCGGACATTGCCTGGTTTAATGTGGGCAAAATTGACACTGCCCATCCAGCGATGGCAATGTCAGCAACTATTATCACATTGCGGACTTTGCCCGTAACAGATATATTAAGTATAAGTTATATGCTATTAAGTCTCGATTTCACCCAGGTAGATTTGCTTGTCGCTAGATCCCGAGCATACTGAAACAAATGCAATATTATTGTTTATCGAAATACATCAAAAAATGTACAAAATTCACATTATTTTTTATATGAGAGGTTTATCTGTACAACAGATTTATATATGAAGAGAGTGCAGGAGAAAAACAATTAAAGTCCACTTTTTGTCGAAATTGATCTGATGATGCTATCAAAGCCCGGTGTCCACGATGCTAGAACTGTGTCCAAGTGTTTAAGTTAATCAACTTGCAGCTCTTACAGAAAAGTAGCAGTTTCATTGGCTTAAACCGAAACTTGGACACAGTTTTTGCATCGTGGACACCGGGCCTTAGGCCTGTTCTTTTCAGCTGAACTTCTTATACGGTTCATCTTTTCTCTTTTTCTCTCCAACGTGAAAAAAAGCTGAACCGTGCAAACCTTGTTTCCTTCATATATAAATCTCTCATATCAAATCTATCCTATATTTGATATATCAAATATTTTATATTATATATTTAATCTATCAAATACATTCTATATTTGATACATTGATATGAGATTTATCTTATTACGAATCATCCCATACCTATGGGCTCCTTCGGGTGAAAATCGATGTCATTTACAGATCCATTGTGCCCCGGTAATTTGTACAATATCCTACGACTCGTCGTATCCCAGACGTAGTGAAACCGATCTGACGATCCCGCCGATACTTTGCTACCGTCCGGTGACCACGCACATCTCAGAAGATTCTAAAAAGAGCAATGTTAAAGCTGTGTAATTTCCCATCGTCTATGGCATATAAAGCTACAGACAATTCTTTTCTCTCAAGTTGTTACAGATCAGATTAAGGCAATACGAAGGGGGTACCTTTTCGAAATTATGCTGATGCCCAGACAGTATCTTCACGCAGCGCTCATAGGGCGCGAATGGTCTTACGTCCCATATCTTCAGTGTGTTATCCATTGCGTTGGAAAGTATGTAAGATCCATCGGGACTGAGGCTCAATCCAGTGATGGTGTCGGTGTGTCCTTTCAACTTGTAAAGTACCGCGTTCTTTCGAAGATCCCACACCTTTATGTCGTTATCAATCCCGCCGCTAATCACTTGTTCTGCCGTATCGTTGAACGTCACTGCGGTAACCTAGTAGCGTTAACAAAAGTTTGTACACAGATGCCGCTTACGTTATTCATATTATTCAATAAAAAATACACTTTTATGATACCTGGTATGTATTATTCAATGTATAACATTGACCCCGTTTCCTGGGATCCCAGATACGTATCGTACTATCGTCGCTGCCCGAGCAGAGCAGCGTAGGTCCCCTTCTTGCTCCCGATACAGAATTCACGAACGAAGTATGACCCTTCAGCTTCTTAATTCGCGTCCCAGCTACTATATCCCACAAACCCAGCGTCATGTCTGTGCTGGCTGTGTACAAATGATTGCCGTCCGGACTGAAATGTAACTCCATCACTGCGCCACTGTGCCCGGTCATGATGCCAATATTTTCGCATTCTCCGTAAACATTCCAGATAACTGTAAAGTACGCAATACCTCATTAGACAAAATAACTGAATTTACACGTAAACATGTCAATCCAGCTCTGCGCAAGACTTACAAATTTGTCGATCAAATCCCGTGGAAGCGAGATACTGTCCCTCTGGATGAAATTCTATAGAGAAAATATCTCCCTGGTGTCCCTCGAGCAGCATTATCATCGACATTAAGGAGGACGTCCGTGGTGGGCCCTTTAAAATATTTTATTATTAACAAACGTTATTTTTTCCAAGAACATACAACACACTTGAGGTTATACTTACGCTCTGCACAACCGCCTTCTCTCTGCTGCTGAAGACGACTTCATTCTTGGTCCTTTTCGAAGCGGGCACCAACGCCAGAATATCGTCTCCCTTTCTTTTATCCAAGATCGGCATGTTGGTGGAATATCAATTTAACTTCAAGCACAACCAGACATTTATTTACTCGATTTCGCGTCGCGCAGCGATAAACTAAAGCGCCATTTGAATCTAGTTTGAGTACTTCGAGACCTTCGAGTTCCTTATAGCCGGTAATATCAACGCTCTTCTATTATCCACCTGAAATTGAGGCTTTACTGGTAATCTTTTGTTGGTTAACTTGCTGCTTGCTGGAGGCCGGAGGTTCAGAGGGACTAGGGAGGGAGTGGGAGGGAGCAAAATAATTTACAAAATATTATTGCTTAGTGCTGACTCTTATATTAAATTTGCGATAGAAATACATAGAATTAAATACAATCTGAGGTTTATTGCGCACAAGGAAGTTCTGAAACGCCGAATGAAACTCCCATAAACGGACCAGCTTGTCGAGTCCTCGGCGCGAAGTAAATTCGAGGTTTTTTCGCGATTGAGGTTAGAACGCTTTCCGGGCGTAAATTATCGTGCGACCGCCCACAAATATGTTAATCGCCTACTATTGTCTATTATCAGAACTGATTAGAGATGCATGAATGTGATCCGAGGCGACCCGACGTGCGCCGTGATGGGATAATAACAGGACTGTTATCGGGCGGGAACGGAGGACGATGATACGGCAAATTTGCAGTCGCGTTAATCGAGCAGCGTGAATCATGCACGGGCGTGAAGATGAGCGGTGCAAGACACAAAATATGGTTTGTATAATATCCTTTCGTCTTGAAGCTGCACACGCGCCAATACTTCTTTCTCTCTCATTTATCGTTGATAAACCTTCTGTTTTTATTGTATATACATGTAATATATATACGGTTTGTACAGCATGGTCTCGGATTTCTTCTATCCGAACATGGGCGGCGTCGAGGAGCACATCTTCAATCTGTCCCAATGTTTACTGGAGCATGGACACAAAGTGGTGATCCTCACACATTCCTATGGGGACAGAGTAGGAATTAGATATATGACAAACGGTCTGAAAGTACGTTTCGCCTTTATTCGATTAGCTGTAAAGCGTCGTCTACAATACACGGAGTAAGCGTGGAGTATATTTCGCTTACGCCCTTACGCTAGCTCTCTTAAAACCGAAAATAGCCCTCTTACTCCTTACTCCACACTTACTCCGTGTATTGTAGGCGACGCTTAATAATCATACGTTTTTTTTTCTTATAACTTGTGTCTCATTTAAGGTATATTACATTCCCGTCAAGGTCTTCTACAACCAGTGTGTTCTTCCAACGATGGTGTGCTCTCTTCCACTCATTAGGTATATCTTCATAAGAGAAGATATACAGATAATACACGGCCATTCTGCATTTTCCGCTTTAGCGCACGAAGGGATGCTGATTGGTAGATTAATGGGACTGAAAGTAAGTCTTGATTGTACTAACGACCCTAACAGTGCATGTTATCATAAATGTAAAGCTAAACATAAATCAAACAGTCGACTTTCGAGCAAAAGCAAAGGATGTTGGTTTAAACCAAAAACAATTTTATATCATATAAATATAAATAGTTTACGTTTCAACTTATTAAGTCTTCCTCGGAATGCAAAAGAACATATTTGGTAAATTACACGTCATAAAATAGATAAAATATGGAAGATCATGAATGTACTTAGAATACACACCTAATTTACTGAGAACATCTTATAATATTCTCTATTCTTGCGAAATCATCTGAACATTCTCAGAAGCTATATGTGTTGTTAGAGAATGGCGCTTAGGTAGCACGAGGTGACTAACGCTATGTTTGCAGACAGTATTCACGGATCATTCTCTTTTTGGTTTTGCGGATGCGTCCGCTATTCTGACAAACAAGTTTCTCGAGATATCGTTGGTCGACTGCGATCATTGCATATGCGTGTCTCATACGGGAAAGGAAAATACAGTATTGCGAGCCAAAGTGCAAAAGGAGAAGGTGTCGGTTATTCCAAACGCCGTGGATACCGCATTATTTACGCCTGACATCGGTAAACGGAACAACGACTTTAGTAAGTTCAGATTCCAAGATCTCTTTCTGGCTATATTAGGAACGTAATCAGTCTAATTGCCATAATGTGACCGTAAATTTCAGTTACCATAGTAATAATATCGCGATTGGTGTATAGGAAGGGTGTTGACCTTCTAGCCTATGTAATACCCGAGATCTGTTCGCGTCATAAGAATGTACAGTTCTTGATCGGTGGAGACGGTCCGAAGAGATGGCTCATAGAGGAAGTAAGGGAGAGAAATCTGTTGCAACATAGAGTTACCTTGTTAGGCAGTCTGGAGCACTCTCAAGTCAAACACGTTCTGAATAAGGGTCATATCTTCCTGAATACAAGCCTGACAGAGGCTTACTGTATGGCTATTGTAGAAGCAGCTTCTTGCGGGTAAACTGCAACATGATGCATCTTGTCTTCTTGTTATGATGCCTGAAATTAATTTAGATCTTTCTTAGTTTCTCTAATAAATACCATTTAGCACATTCTTTCATTAACAAAATTTTTAAATAATGACAAATAAAAATGAAAATAATAAATACTATTTTATAGTTTGCAAGTAGTGTCAACGAAAGTTGGAGGTATTCCGGAAGTTTTACCGCCGGATCTGATTTACCTCGTGGAACCCACTGTACCTGGATTAATTAAAGGGCTAGAGATGGCTATAACGAACTACAAAAAGGGCAATGTTGAATGCCCTTTCGAGACGCATAGGAGGATAGGCTTATATTACAATTGGTTCAACATTACCAAACGTACGGAAATAGTGTATAATTTAGTGAAACGTGAAGCGAAAAGAAATCTAGGACAGCGATTAGCTAGTCAAATACGAAGTGGTGTATTGGCCTACTTGCTCGTACTGTCGTTATGCTATATAATACTACAAGTCCTGGAATTCCTCGTCCCAAGAAAGGTAATTCAAAATCATCTAACTTGTACGCATGTATTCTATTAGTTATAATTTGTATATTGTCATGTTTTTTAATTCTGTGTAAAATTCTGTTTCTTATTTTTTTCCATTATTTTTTTTCATATTGGCTTACGTATTTAATTTTTATTTTTTTAAATTGTCTACTGCTATATGCGCATATTTAATATGCATATCAAAGAGAATCTTTGTATTTATAAATAAATTTATTCGTTCATAAAAATAAACAAATTTTCAGTATATCGATATTGCGCGAGATTACAACGATATTCATGTTGTACCATCCAACGGGAAAGGAAAAGAAGATTAACTATAATTGCAGAAGCCTGAAATGTAAATTTCTCAATGTGTTCAAGTATTTTATTCTATAGGTACTTTGGAAACATTCCAGAAAAACTTGTTTTCTGCAAAACTTATTGTTATACAGGTAATTATGGTGTGTCTCCGCGTAAGAAGAACAATCGTCGTTGCATTTACCGATAAATTTTTAAAGAAATATAATTATATACATATATAATGTATGTATAGATGTTGTACACATAGAGATAACAATGCGCAAAGTACAAATGTCATAATACTTGTACGTATATAGAATTACAACTGAGAGACGACTGTTTATAACAATTTTATTTATTATACTATCCTGCTTTCGCACGCGTAATTTATATGCGTTTTAAAATAAATGACGGCACATGGCGTTTAACATTCAAATACTGACTCGCCAGTCCAATGTTGAAACATCGGATTTATGAAAATAATATTAATTTGTCCATTAAATGATTTTTTTATTATGATACATGACATCCGTATGAATCAATGCATAACATGTATAACAATTCGTAACGATATCCAACTGCAACGCCGCTCATCTCGCATACATTTAATACATATGCTTAAGAAAGATTTATTGCGTTCATTAGCATTACAAAATATCGTCGCGTGTATTATGAAATATCGTTCGTGCTTACTTTTAAATCAATCCGCGCTAATTTCCAAGCAGTTATTTGTAGCAATATGTGGAGTAGAAAGGTTAATTCGTGTTCATGTAATCCCACCATATGGTATTATCATACATCAATATCTTTCTTTTTGAGGGCTTTTCTTTTTTTATAAGAATCAATAAAATGACTTTCATTCAGAACTCGTTATCAGAATATATAAAGTATAGTGTATATTAACTTACAAAAAAAAAATATAAAGACAACGTTCTCATACATTCATCTTTCAACAAAAAATGTTGCATTGTTACATAAACATCTGTATGTATATATATATATATATAGATGCGGTGCAAATATATATATATGTATATATATATTTTTTTTCTCTCTGACTCTTTCGATATTGAAGATTTGAATTTCGATACATAAATTAATTCATAAAACAATAAGAAAGCCAAATTGAAAATATAATAATATTTATTTCATTATGTTGTACGTTAGATACAATAATAGAATATTGATACAATATCAATTATCTGTTTTTATTTTTAATTATATCGCTTTAATCAGTTTGTTTAATCATCACTATATTACTCTGTACATTAATCTATATTTATACATAAATCTTTTCATGTAAGGGTCTGTGGTCTCCTCCTATTTTCGGTCTTGTATAAGAGAAGATCAACGAACCTTAGTTAACAACCATCATAATATTACGAGTGGTCAGATCTGTCACAACATTCCACGCTTATCCAACGTCGTATCTGTATCAACGCATATTAGTCCAATTGGAAAAAAAATAAATGTTCTCAAAAGTGCTAAAAAGTAGTTACGGATCTTTAACTACGACATTCATAGAGTTATAAAATAAAATTTTACAAAAAGAGATACCATTTCTATCTGCATATATTGCATTACTTAAATCAAACATTTTCAAACGTTTACTGTTACGATCGACTACAGCGTATATAGAAGAAGTCTATGCCGACGACAATGAGATCCATATGCAGTAATCAGTGTTATCAAGATTTCATGTGTATGCCGATATCTCGTGTATATCGAGGAATACGCATTACGAATATTATTTATAATCGTTATTGTTGTTTCTACTGCAAAACCGAAAATTTCTAATGAAGAAAGCTATGTTGAGTCAAAAGTTACTAGTTTTACTTCATAATTATTATAATATCAGGAAAGTATCACTTTGAATCGCCCCTCGTCCATCATTCCAGAGTATGATACAAGTTTCCGTTCTGTTATCAGTGTTCCCATCCCCCTTTGCGTATACAATTATCATATATGTCCTGCTTAAAGCTGTTACTGCAATATTATGACGGCGAAGAAATGATAAAAAGATGAAGGAAGATTTCTCGTACTTGAAATGCACATTAAATCATTTGCAGGATGTATTACGAGAAATATAAAGTAAATCTCTTTTTCTCGACGTGTATTTGCGATGAAGCGAAAATCCATAGGATTCAATAAGGACAAATACTGACGCACTGTATATTCAGTACCGTACTTGACATAGAGGTGATGATTTCCGCGATCTCAAGCAAGTTCTAATATGTTACTTCTTTTTCGTTGAACACCTTTACATACACATATTGCTATTGACTGCCACATATCCGCATGTGCAATTATTATCGGTCGGCATACTTTTCTCTCCTCTTTTTTTTTCTTATTGTGTATTTTAAGTGACGATGGCGAGATGAAATGTTATAAAAGTTTCCAACCCTAATTGTCGTGTACATAGGAAAAAGTAAGTCGTCCGTCTTCTTTCATGCGAAATATTCTTTGAGTAATATGTACAATGGAGCTTTTTTATGTAATGTAAGAAAATAACGCCACGCTCAACCGGTCCTAAATAAATGGCCACCATAAACGATCGACTTTGAAGGGATGAGCTTCTTGTCTTCGTGTATTGGATAAAAAGTCTTCATATGCTTTAAGAAGTATCCGCGGTGGGTTTCTCAGCATTGGTTTGGCATGTATAATAAATAAATAACGAACCGTTTAATGAAACGAGCGTCGCATCATTTCTACGAGGTAAATTGGTGAAACAGCTCAGGAGCCTTCGCCATAATCACGATCACCTACGTTAATACGATCGGGAGCAGCAGTTACACTGAAGCCAAGGATCCTGTTATCCACTTTGAACATTTTTCCCTTCTTTGGTTTCTTGGATTTTCCCTAGACGAAAAAGATCTTTCAATATTTAAATCTATTTCACAGACTTGATACATTTGTGCTTAATATTAATGATGTTTCGCTCACATTTCATACTAATTTAATTGTAATAACATAAATAATGTTAAGACGATTTCTCTGACGAGAATATTTACTTTAATAAAATCTAATATTAAGTAATTAATATTTTATTATTACTATATTAAGATGATATAACTTTAACAAGAATATACCTTAACTTCTTGGAATTCTGCAGGTGCATTTGGATTAATAGCGGGTGCTGGCTTGCACAGGTCATCAGCTTGTACCTGAGGACGTTGCGCTGATCGCAGTTTGCTTCGTTTTTCGAGAAATTGCTTGGCGAATTCCATGCTCTGCTTGGTATCCCCAACGTAAACGCGAATGTACTCCCTAACTTCATACGGCGTTTCGAGGTCTCGCAAGAATGTAACGAACGTAGGGACTGCAAATGTATACTTATGCGTATAGGAAGACAAAATTCGTAAAAAAAATTCAATGTAGGACACTTACTGTCCACAGACGCCTGTATACTGCTCAATGTTTTACTACACCATTGCGTGAATTCGTCGGTCTTGGCAGTGTTCTGTTCAAACAATTTCTTCACTAGTTCCTCCTCTTTCTTATTCTTATTTTTGGACGCTTTATTATTACTATTTTGCTGTTGCTGCTGCTGCTGCTGTTGCTGGCTAGATACAGGTTTTGTCATTGTAGCTTGTTTAGTCGACTGTTTCATGGTGGTGGACGACTTAACAGGTGTAGGATCCCAGAAACCAGTAGTACCGGAATTCATAGACCACCCTTGGCTGCTTGATGCACTCGAATTAGTCCAATTCAAACACTGTGATGCTGTACCCCATATACCGGCGTTCTGGAGTATACTCGCAGATTCCTTCTGGCCGACTTTTTCTAATCGTTCTCTTTCCTGTTGGTAAGAAATTTCAAATTTTTCATCGCTCAATCTTTCGAAAACAATATTTCATGTCACTCGCATATTCAGGGCAATAAGTACCTTTACCTTAGCGACGCGCTCTTGCTCCTCCTGCTGAATCTGCGCAAGACTCTTCACTTGAAGTAATTTAGAAGCAATAGCTTTTTCCGCCCACTTGAATTGCAATCGCTTTGAAGAGTCAATTGCCGATGCCTCTTGTGCCGCTTCTACTGCCTTCTGCTGTGCTGACTGTTGCAGCATTAATTGTTGATGCCGTTGTTCTTCCTGTAAGAAAGTAATAATAATAAACATAGACATGTATTGCATGCATTGTAAGGATGACCGAAAAGAATTGTTAATATTGGGTTGGCCAATAAGTCCGTGCGGTTTTTTATAAGTAAAATTTATAAGTAAAAAACCGCACGCGCGGACTTATTGGCCAACCTATTATTTGGTTTTAGGTATTTAATTAAAATCTCGATACAAGCTTATTTCAATCGGAACGAAAGCAACTGCTACTGGCTACGTGACTGTTCCCTCGACCGGACTTGACTCGACTAGTACGGACCTGCACAACGACCGTTGAACAACGCTTCGCGTGGCCACGTGGCCACGTGCCCACGATCCCTTTGTACTTCAGCGCCGTAATACCAACCGAATAAACCGGCGGCCGCCATCTACGCGCACTGCAGTTTTTCGCCACAACTAACTAACTAAATACTTTTAGATTTCTTAGCTTAGGGCTCAGACACAATGACAAAAATAAGGAATAAGATAAAGGAATAAAGAATAAGGGAACGTCGCATCTCACTTCAGTACACGTACATTAAAGTGAGATGCAACATGCCTTATTCCTTATTCCTTTATCTTATTCCTTATTTTTCTCATTGTGTATGAGCGGTTACAGCTTAATAAGTGTAAATAATTTACCGCTTTTTTTTCTCTCTCTAGTCTCTGAATCTCGGCAAGCGAAGCAGTATGAGTGGCAGGAGTCAATGTACGTGGAGCCTGAGCCCACGGGGATTTAGTTGTCTTTTCTTGAAGCTTACGCAATGCTTCGTCTTCTCTTCGTCGTTGTTCCGCACGACGCTCGTCTATTTCCGCCTGTCGTCGCGCCTCTGCCTCTTTCCTGTAAATTTCACCATTGCAAATTTTGCTGGAGTGTATTATTATTTTACTTTTTCATAACATCATGCTTCGCATAATTCTACTGATATACCTGAGTCTCTCTTCTTCCTGTCTTTTTAGCTCTTCCTCAAATTTCTTCTTCTTTTCCTCCTCTTTCTTCTGTTTTTCTTCTAGTTTTCTAAACTCTTCCCGCTTTCTCTTCTCTTCTTCCTGCTTCCTCTTTAAGTTCTCCTCCTCCTGCTTTCTCTTTTCTTCACGCTTTTTCTCTTCCTCTTTACGTTTTCTTTCTTCTTTTTTCTTTTGCTCTTCTTCCTGTTTACGTTTCTCTTCCTCTTTTCGTTTCTTCTCCTCTTCCTTTCTCTTTCTCTCCTCATCTTTACGTTTTGCTTCCTCAGCTTGTCTAGCCTG